CTATTAGGCATTAGCGAGAAATTTTTTAAATAAATTGATCAACGCAGGACCCGTGGATTTCAGTCTATTAGGCATCAATTGTCCACGCGAGAGCGTGTTTCAACAGATTAAAAATTTGTTAATGAAACTGACGACTAGGCGGTGACCACGATGGATAAAATACTGTTGAGCCATCCAACGAACTTGAACAGCGAAGACCTGAAAGTGCTGCCGGCACAATACCTCATAGAACGGGTGAGACCCTACGAATTGTTAAATATGTGGCACAAATTACCGGGAAAACATCAATGTAATTTTGAACTACAAACTCATCTGCCGTGTTTTGTGCATTACAACCGGCCTGACAGCAGAACCCATATCGACGGACCGGCTCCCTCGCAAAATCGGTGTTTTCATTGTTTGAGCGCTATAAAAAAGCGCTGACGACGTGGTGATCAGTGTCATTCGAGAACGCGATGGCTACGCTAAACGCCAAGTTTATTTTGTTGTCCACATTAGTGCAAAATATGTTTTATATTCACAAACCCAGCAGGGTAATTGAAGCATATGTGTGTTTCAAAAACGTCGATAATCGTAATTTTTCCTGTTCATGGCCGGACACCTGGACGCCGATGCATCTAGCGGCGACGGACGGCAACCTGTTTGAGACTAAACTGCCAATGAGTGCGGTGCACCAAAATTATAAAGTTCGTTTGGTTTTCTCCGATCGCAGTTACGGAGATCAGGGAGAATGGCAAAGCATTGTAAGCAGTAGCAGCAGCAGCAGCAACAGTAGCAATGACTCTTTAAACAAAAACAACTCCAGAAGCCTCCAAGACAGTGGTGACGACGACGACAAGCACTTTTCCCCGAATCAAAAACAAACTATTTTCATTTTGTTATACCTGATCGCGTCCAGTTCGCTACTTTTGTTATCAAAGTGTTTGGTCAAGATAACTAAAACTCAATGTGCCGTCCAATTTCGACGATAGGAGGGGGATGAAATGTATAAATACTGTGTAGGAGTTATAAAAACAATGTAAGTTTTGTGTGTGTGTTAGTTGACTGAACAACAAGAACAACAACGATGGGTGGTGATTGGGATGCAACATTTAATAATCACAGAAGAATTACGCCTACGCGTATTCCGGATACTACAGTAACGATCGATGAACATATATATGTCGAGATGGATTGCGCCCAAGTACGCCTGTATGTTAATGGCCAGCAGCGACTAGACTTTACCCACGAGGCATTTTTGAAGTTTTTATATTTTATTGACGAGGAAATTGGAAATCTAAAATGGAACGACGTCATCTTCCCCCTAGGAGATTGCATGCAAGCGACTTATTGGCACGAAGAAGAACGGTGTGACTTAACGCTGAAAAAATTCAATCCGTTAATCGAAATATACCTTGAGCGCGAGGAAATAGAAAAACTCGTGTCTCATAAAATGAACTTGTTCAATGCTTTAGAGTCTTTCCACTATATACGTCTCGGTCAATAAAATATACATATTCTACTTATTGTTTTTTTTAATTTCTAATCAGTTTCTGACGGAAACACGCGCGCGCGCGGATGTACGCATCCGGCCACGTTATGTGTGGAAAATTAAAAATAAAATGCAATTTCCGGCAGCGAAGGAAACACATGCGGCAATAATATCAACGTTTCGTATTTCCTGTGTCGCAGGATGTGTGGATTACTAATCGGACCGAGTGGCTCATTAATTTGATTTAAGCATTTTTTGCATTTTTTGGCATCGTCACCCGCTGCCCCGCGGCGGACGATGATGTCACCCAGCCGACGAGTTTCAACTATTTCTGCGAATAAGCAATGTCGTGGGCCTTACACGCCGCGTCCAAAAGATTCACGAAATATGTTGTATATATATAAAAGGGGGTGGTCCAATAAGGGTTGTAGTCATGCGGGTGGTGCAACAGAAACTCGCACTCCCCATCGAAAATTTAGATTTTGTTTGCGGCGAGGGCGGGAACAATAAAAGCAAACACGGAAAACTGTTACCCAACTCGTTTAGGGCGGTGTTTTGTGGACCGAGCGGGTGCGGTAAAACTAACGCCATGTTGACGCTACTCTTCAGCCCCAATGGAGCGCGTTTCGAGAACGTTTACGTCTACTCAAAGTCGCTGTATCAACCCAAATACCAACTACTGTCTCGCGTAATGAAGCAAACCAAAGGACTTGGATACTTTCCTTACAGGGATAGCGACGAGATAATCGACCCCAGTGAAGCGAAAGAGAATTCCGTGTTCATTTTCGACGACGTGTCGTGTGACAAACAAAATAAAATTCGCGAATATTTCTCAATGTGTCGACACAAGTCCATCGACGCGGCCTATCTCTGCCAGACGTACTCCAAAATACCCAAGCAACTGATAAGGGACAATTGCAACATTATAGTACTGTTTAAACAGGATGACGTGAATTTACGACGAGCACGTCTCCCCCGACGTTTCGTACGACGCGTTCAAAAATATCTGTTCCGCCTGTTGGCAGGACAAGTACGGAAGCCTCGTAATTGTCAAAGATTTTGAATTGAAAAACGGCCGTTACCGCAAGGGTTTTGATAAGTATATAAAAGTGGATGACAAGTGATCGTCGGAAACACACAGTGTCATGAAGGCGGCGCCCGTTGACATCGCCGACGCGGCGCTTAAACGGAAAGTAAACGACCTGTCCAAGTCAATTAGGAAAAAGTACTTGGCTCTAAAGTTGGGCAAGAGCGAGGAGGACGCGTCCATTCGGAAACTTTTTAAACCCGTCAGCGAGCCGCTCGAGCGTATTGCGAAAATAAAACCCCTCCAACCGGCGTTGTTAAAAGCAAAAAGCGAACATACCGGCCTCAAGCAAAAACCGAAAGCGGAAATCAAAAAGAACGACAACGTGTCGTTTTTGCCGTTGGAGGAGATTCGGGAAACGGCGACATCCTCGGCTGCCGATCGTAGTGTAGAGATGCAAGATATTCAGCAGGAGGAAGGGGAGGAGGATGAAGTGTTTGATACCTCGAATGTGGCTAACGAGTCCTTTCGATCATATCTGGATCAATATCCCGAGATTTCCCATCCTTATATTCAAAATTTATGGGCGAAATCGGCCGACACGGACATCGTTTATGGTCCCGTTTATGACTCGATCTCTTCGAAATGGGTTCTCGGCAATAAGTGGATGGATTTTCATCGAAGATCCGGCGACATTATTGTGGACGGCACGCGTTACAACGGCACTCTCGGCCTATATAATTTGGTGTTTTTGAAAAACCCCCAGACATACACCGAAAACGATTTGGCAGAATATAAAAAAATTATGGATGTCACGGGGGTACATAGGGACTCGCGCGGGCGTCTAAAAGGCGCGTCGACGGTACCCAAGTACGTTCAGGTCATTCGACCGTTAGTAAAACCGCGTCCTTATTCGTACAGTGGACAAGGTTATAGTATGCGTTATAATAACGCGCCTATGGAATACGTGTACTGGGACGACGTCAACGAACTCGTTGAGCGCCTAAAATTACTGGTCGCGTCGAAACACGCAGGGAACACGTCTGCGGACAACGAAATTCTCTCTATCGTCGAAGAGTTAAAAGAAGCCGGTATAATACGTTAGTTTAATAATGAGTCTGGACAAGTTTGGACGATCCAGCGGTGTCCGCTCCAAGCGAACTACCGTGATAAAGAGCTCCGCCTTCGATTTTACCGCGGAGGGAAACGTCGATATGAACCATTTAAGAATTTGCAATGTCCAAATGCCTAGCGAAAACTACGATGCGGCCACCAAAAAGTACGTGGACGATGAAGTGGACGAGGCGCTTACGAAAAGACTACGATCCAAGGACGTCATCGCACCACCGCTGCTAGCCCCAGAAGAACAAGCGTTCGAAAAACACGCTTTAGCGGTGGAGCGACTCTCGCGGCAAAACAGGGACATTACCCTGACGTTGGAAACAAACAAGAGTAGATTCGCACGTTTAGAGCAACAAGTCGGAACGTTTCGAGGTGAATTTCTAAAGTTTCGCCGCGACCTTGATCGCAAACTAGGCGAGATATGCACAAAGCAAGAGTTGGAAAATCACGCGTTAGTGACGGAACGGAGATTCGACGAGATTGTTCCCGAGGTGAATCGACTCTCCCGGGAAAATAAAGATATAACGAGGGCGTTGGAATTAAAGATTCTCAATCACCCGCCGCAGCAACAGTCGTATCGGCCCAAAAAAAGAGCAGCGGACCAAATTGACGAATGAGTAGTAAAGAAAAGATACAACTCGTGCGGGAACTGCACAGGCCGGCACGTAGAAATTATGCGCGTCGCAGAACTATAATACGAGGGTTGGATGATTTGTGGCAGGCCGATTTGGCCCAGCTCGATCGATATGCGAAACAAAATAAAAACTTTAAATTTATATTGGTTGTTATCGATTGTTTTTCAAAATACGTGTGGTGCGAACCGTTAAAAAGAAAAACGGGTAGTGATGTGACCAAGGCCTTCGCCAAAATTCTAAAAGAGGCACGGGATCGACACCCAAAAAACCTGCAAACGGATCTGGGCAAGGAATTTTATAATGGCAATTTTGAGAAGCTCATGACCAAGCACGAAATAAATCATTATAGTACGTACAGTAAGAAAAAGGCCTCGATAGTCGAACGGGTAATAAGGACGCTCAAAGAAAAATTGCATCGGTATTTCTCGTTAAACGGAACGTACCGCTGGACAGACGTGCTGCCCTCTGTCGTTCAACAATACAACAACAAGAAACACAGAACGACGGGAATGAAACCTAATGCGGTGAATAAAAGTAACGCCGATTCACTTTTGAAGAGCGCTTTCAGTCACCTGAAAATATTCGGAGCTAGGAAATTGAAAGTGGGTGACGTGGTTAGAATTAGTAAAGCCAAACACGTGTTTAACAAAGAATACACGCCGAATTGGACCACCGAACTATTTAAAGTGGTCAAAGTGCAGATCACGAACCCGGTGACGTATCTTCTCGAAGGTATGAACGGTAAACCTATAATGGGAGGATTTTACGAAGAAGAATTGCAAAAAACGGCCAATCCTGACGTCTATCTCGTTGAAAAGGTTCTGCGCAGGCGCGGTAAAAAAGTTTTGGTACGCTGGTTGGGATTGGACAAGTCGCACGATTCGTGGATTGACGACGCGAATGTATTATAAGTCTCAGTGTCGATGTAACAGTTGTGTCGGGGCGCGCATCATGGAGCAGCAGCAAATATCGCTCCCCCCCGAAGAGTTGTACGAATTTTTAACGAGCTACGACATACATTATACGCCGCCGCCGCCGCCACCACCACCACCGGAAGTGCAACAACAACAACAAGTAAGAAAACCGTCAAAACGGCGTCGTAGTACGACGACGCCCCCAAAGCCTCACAAAAAAAAAAGAAAAAGGGAAGAAACGGTTCAGCAGCAGCAGCAGCATACCGGCTCATCCTCCTCCTCCTCCGGTTGGTTCGATACGTTTATCGACGACGAAGAAAGAAGGGTGGTATGCGAAGCGTTCCAGTTGAAAATGGTTTTAGAGTCGCAGCTGGTGCGAAACGAGGACCGGATCAAAGAGACTGAAACTAAAATTGCCCTGCTGCAGAGCGAGTTACAAGTGGCGCGCCTTCACTCCGACGAATGCAGAAAAAAACTTAAACATTTTGCAAATTTAGCGTCCTCTCTGCCCGCATCAATCCCATAGTTTTTTTTTATTTTAAAAATATTGTCGATGTTGATGTAAATAAAAAAAAAAAAATCTTTAGTGTTTTTTTATTTAGACACACACACACACACACACACTCCTCCAAACAACAACAACAAGTGAAAAAAAAGTTACATATACATTTTACATTAGAATAAAAAAAACCAACATAAGCCTAATTTTTTTACAAATATTTTTTATTATTAGGTCGCAATGAATATGTTAAAAACAAAATCAATTATCGTCATTAAATTATTATGTATTCTGGTAAAAGACTAACATAAGCTTAATTTTTACAAATATTTTTATTATTATTAGGTCGCAATGAATATGTTAAAACAAATCAATTATCGCCATTAAATTATTATATATTCTGGTGTGAGCTTCGCTTCGAATCTCGACCGTTGATCGCGGTATGAATGTAAATTGCAGCGCGATTGTGTGCGATGGCGTACCGCCGCCGTCGCGTTTGACGACTGGATGATATCATCGCCCGCCGGTGTGCGGCAGCGGATGCATGACATCATCGCTTTGCGAAATGTTTAAACGAAACCTTGGCGGGTGAGATCATCGCGTCGCCTGCCTTCGCAACGAGACTTTCATATTAGTCCGCTGTCGGAATTCAGTATATAAAAGGTTTCGATTGTTTGTCACATCATTTAAATACCGCTTGAGTTGTGTGTGTGATCAAGTCGCTTAATTGATCAAACGATCCGTGTTATCTCAGTGTTAGCCGCCCCCACCGCACCCATCCCAAACCAACGCCAAAGTAAGTACTATTTTTTGTTTTTTGAAAAAATTGTCAATATTGAACTGAAGGATTCTACTTTCGTTATAGATGGACTTAAAATCATTAAATGAAAAAATTGCAGCGAATAAAGAGAATCAAAAACCAATAGTTAAGTTGGGGCAGTTAGACGTTGGTCGACCATACAAGATAGACAAGGCCAGAATAGTAAAGACCCAGTTTGGGGAGGCGGTTCTATTGGAGTTAGAATTATCGGTGGTGTTCCTGCCGAACCGGGTGACGGACAGCTTCCGGCCGATTATAGACCAATTTTCGACGGGCCGCTACAGTCTGGTGTATCGGGGCGTTAAAGAAGTCGGCAGTTGGCCCGCTCAACAATTTGAAATTGTTCAAAATTAAAAATTACGGGGGAGAGAGAGAGAGAGACGGTAAGTCTTATTTTTTCAAATATTATTATTAATTGGTCGCAATGAATTTTACGCGAACTATTGAGGACGCTCAAAATTTAATTTTGGCTTTTCGTCAAGTGAACAAATACGTGTTCGATAATTTAACGGAAGAAGATAAAAATGTTTGGTTGGGACGTTTACGCAGAAACATCATTCGGTGCAACAAGATTGTTCGTACTAGTCCAAAAAAAAATATATCCATGGGGTTACAAAGAAAAATACAGACAACAATTCAACATCTTAAGACTATTAAACAAATGATTTTGAATCATCGCCACCATTTTGGAATGGGGTTGCAAAACAACAGTCCTGCAAATATAAAACAAAGGGTTTTGTGGGAGCAGATCGTGTCTTGTTTCCAGGGAAGAGTTTTAACGGGTGTAATAATCAATTTGAAACACAAAGACGAACAACAGTTTTTAAACGACTGTCTTGTCATATTTAAGAAAAAAATTTCAAAAATTTTAAAACAAGCGTCGCCAATGCTAAAAGTAAATGCCACGTTTTGCGGGGAATTTATAAAGAGAAAAAGCGACGACCAAGACGTGACCGACGTGAAATATATTTCTGGATTTAAACGAATGGTTCGTTGAAAATGTTAAAATTCAAATTCTAAATAAATTGTCTGAATTTCAAGAACGCGATTCGGGATTTGCCTTGCAAAAAATTCTTTATTTGGAAATTAATATTAACAAATTTGAAGTGGGTAACGGCTCTTCCTACATTGAATTGCCCCCAGAAATTAAGAGAAAAAATGCATGCATTAATATTCAAAATAATGACGAGGCCTGTTTTTATTGGTCAGTGGTCTGTGCTTGTTTTCCTGTACATCTCAAACAACACTTACCAACTTCATATCCTTATTATAAGGGCGTTTTAAGAACTGAAAATTGCCCAACACCGATGGGTCTAAATCAAATTCATATATTTGAAAAATTCAACGAAATTTCCGTAAATGTGTACGTTTTAGAGTTAATTCAAAATAACAGCAAAAGTTTTTATTCAGTGTTACCGGCCCGTTTGACTAAAGAAAAACGCGAAAAACATGTCAATTTACTATTAATTCAAAATAAGTATTATCCAAAAATTAATGATTTTGATCCGGAACCGACGACGGCAGAGGACCATAAATATGAAAAAGAAGAAGAAATTAAATATCATTATTGTTATATTAAAAATTTATCTCGACTAGTGTCGCGCCAGCTGAGTAGACATAGCGGTAAAAAATATATTTGCGATAGGTGTTTGAATTACTTCAGTAGCGAAACGCTCTTAAAGGATCATGAAAGGTTGTGTGTCAGTTTGAACGATTATAAAGTGTCTTTTCCCAAATACGACTATGTTGAATTTCGAAACCATATATACAAACAAACCACGCCATTTGTAATCTACGCCGATTTCGAAAGTCAACTTAAAGATGTAAATTTGGTAATTTCAGACAAAACGCGAAAATATCAAAAGCATGAGGCATATAGTGCCGCATATTATTTTAAATGTTCTTATGACGATTCTTTGTCCTTTTTCGAATCCTATCGCGGCCCAGATTGTATGGATTGGTTCGTCCGACAAATATCTGACTTATCGAAGTTTGTCCAATCGAAATTTATTGATATCGTACGCATGGAAGGGTCAATTACTTTCTCTCAAGTTTCGACACATTGTCATATTTGCGAAGAGCCTTTCTCACCGACAGACGTCATTGTCCGCGACCACGACCATTTTACCGGGAAATTCAGAAATTTCGCCCATCAGGCTTGTAATTTAAATTTTAGAAAATTGTTCATAGTGCCCGTAGTATTCCAGAATCTCTCAGGGTACGACGCCCATTTTATCCTTAGGGCCTTGGGCAATAAAGGGTCTTTAAGTTTGGTTCCGGTCAACAAGGAAAAATACATATCTTTTACCTATTACGAGCCCGTATATAAGCTAAAGTTTCGATTTATAGATTCGTTTAGATTTTTGGGGGCGTCTCTAGACAATTTGGTAAACAGCGTCGACAAAAATGAACTTTACATATTAAAAAAGGAATTTTCTCACCTTCAAGACGAATCAAAACTAAATTTATTGTCGCAAAAGGGTGTATTTTGTTATGATTACATAGACGACTACGACAAATTAAACGAAACGAGTTTACCGCCCATCGATGCTTTTTACAATAAATTATATGAGTCCGACATTAGTGAAGAAAAGTATGCTCATGCGCAAAAAGTCTGGTCCGCGTTTGAAATTAAAAACTTGGGCGAATATTCGGATTTATATTTGAAAACGGACGTTATCCTTTTGGCCGACGTATTTGAAAATTTTCGAAAAAATTGTATGGTGACGCATATTTTGGACCCGGCATGGTATTTTAGTATGCCCGGATATACGTGGGACTGTATGCTTAGATTCACAAAATGTCGTTTAGAACTGATGCGTGACATTGATCAGATTATGTTTATCGAACAGGGTATACGGGGTGGGATTTCGGTGTGCGTTGGCAGGTACGTTGAGGCAAACAACAAGTACATCTCCAATTACGATCCATCAAAGCAATCGAATTATCTCACATTTTTTGACGTTAACAATCTTTACGGCAAGGCTATGTCGGAGCCTCTTCCCTACGGCGGATTCACATGGTTGACTCGGGAAGAAATTGCCTCCCTTAGCATTAATAATATTCCAGACACGGGCGGGGTAGGCTATATTTTGGAGGTAGATTTGCAATACCCTCAGAGTTTACACGATCTACATAAAGATTTCCCATTTTGTGCCGAGCATCGCGTGCCTCCCAATTCAAAATTACCAAAATTGATGACAACCCTTTTTAATAAAACCAATTACGTTATGCACTATCGAAATTTAAAGCAAGCTTTAAAACACGGACTCGTTCTTACTAAAATACACAGAGTATTAAAATTTAGGCAATCTTCTTGGCTAAAGAATATATCGATCTAAATAAGCACTTACGGACGCAAGCCACTACCACTTTTGGTAAAAATCTTTTTAAATTATTTAACAACGCGGTGTTCGGAAAAACTATGGAAAACATACGTAAGCATCGGGTCGTAAAATTTGTTAGAAAGTGGGAGGGTCGTTACGGTGCTAAAAATTTAATTGCTAGTCCCCGATTTCACAATAGAACTGTACTAGATGATAATCTAATGTTGGTGGAACTGAAAAAATCGGAACTTATTTTTAACAAACCCCTTTACATTGGAATGTCAATTCTGGATCTATCTAAAATTATCATGTATTCGTTTCATTACGATTACATGCTACCCAAGTTAGGTCCGGAGAAATGTAAAATTCAGTATATGGACACGGACAGTTTCATTTACAACATCCATTGTGATGATGTATACGAAGAGGTTATTAAGTCCAATTTAAGCAAATTCGACACGTCCGACTATCCCATTGATAATCCATAGAATATGCCTCGCGTCAATAAGAAAGTACTGGGTCTAATGAAGGACGAGGCCAACGGTTCAATAATTTCACACTATGCCGGGCTAAGATCGAAAATGTACACTTATAAAATCTTAAACGGAAAAACTGTAAAAAAATCAAAGGGTGTAAACTACCAGATTGTTAAAAATAAAATAACTTTTGAAGATTTTGTTGATTGCTTGAAAAATTTAAAAGAAAAACATGCTACTCAACGAACCATTCGTTCTTATACGCACGAGGTGTTTAGTATCGAACAAATTAAAGTGGCGCTAAGTCCGTATGACGACAAAAGATATCTTATAGCAAACACGTTTGATACTCTTCCGTGGGGACATTACAAGGCACTGTAATTTTTTTTTCTCTGTTGTAGACAATGGCCGAATTGTTGTCGTTGAAAGATCTATGTATAAAGTCAATTAGTGAAAATGTTCATTCTGTTGCACATTTTCTGCTTGAAACGACCTTACCGAGGACGCTAACGCTACAGATAATGGAAAAATATCCCGAATATAGGTGGAAATATATTAATGCACTCGCTGTCAAATGTGAACGACCACCTCCACCAGATTTGAGTTTGATAACCCGTCAAAAGAAAGTATCGTTGGCACATCGAAATGCCATTTTAGTATGGCCAAGGTATACAGACCATCCTTTTGAGCATTATAGCTATTATTTATGGGAAAAACACTATATAGTGATGACCCGAACATTTCTGTTGATGGTTTGTGAATCTTGCAAAGACGCTTTTATAACTTTTGAAAAAAAATCAAAAATCAAATTTGACAAATTTGATTTTTGCGATTATCGGCACATACCTACAGTCGAAGCCTGTGCATTAATATATATGGTATACCAGAGTCAGAGGAGTTGGTGTGAAAGTTGCTATTCCGAAATACACTTTGAATTAGAACCCGAAGAAGAAATCGATGATCGCACCAGAATATATAATAATTTAATGGCGATAATTGATTTGTTTTAACATATTCATTGCGACCTAATAATAATATTTGTAAAAAATTAGGCTTATGATAGTCTTTTTAGAATCCCCCTCAGAAAAAACGACGATCACACCGGAATACATAATAATTTAATGACGATTCATTGCGACCTAATAATAAAAAATATTTGTAAAAAAAATTAGGCTTATGTTGGTCTTTTTTTAATTGTAATGTAAAAAAAAATGTGTATGAGTGTTTGTGTGTCTAAATAAAAAAAACACTAAAATTTTTGTTTTTTTACATCAACATATGGCGTGGGGACGGGGGGGTCGGGGGGGGGCGGGGGGCGGGGGGCGAGCACCAGCGGCAGCCCCCGGGGGGCACCACCACCACCACCACCACGGACGACGGCGGGGCACCACCACGGACAACGATTTGGTCGGCACCACGGACGACGGTTAGGTTGGCGGCACCACGGACGACGGTTTGGTTAGGGCCGGGGGAGCGGGGACTCTACCAGCGGGGGCCCCACCTCTACCAGCGGGGGCTACGCCCCCCACCTCTACCAGCGGAGGCTACGCCCCCCCCCCCCCCCCCCCCGCGGGGCGAACGGTTGGCACCCACGGACCCCCCCACGGTTGGCACCACTGACAACCGTTGGCACCCACGGACAACGGTTTGGTTGGAACCACGGACCACAATTTGGTTAGGTCGGTACCACGGACGACCGTTTGGTTAGGCCGAGCGGCCAATGGGCGAGTGACCTTGAACGAGCGGCCAATGGCCGAACGGCGAGACACACAAAAGAAGAAGACCTATGGGCGAGTGGCCCCATGGCCGAGCGGCCTATGGGCGAGTGACCTATGGGCGAGTGACCTATGGGCGAGTGGCCTATGGGCGGAAAAAGATGGCCGAGCGGCCCGTGGGCGGGGGGCCCGTGGCCGAGTGGCCAAAAAGTGAGGTTAGGAGTCCCTGGAAGTCCCTTTATCCATCTACTATCGGGGATCAGCGTTCTACAGTCCCTGCAGTTGGCAATGACCTCCTCACCAATCTCGTTTTCGATAAAGCACGGACAAATAACCCGCCGGTCCAAAATCTACACCAAAGGGCAAAGTTCCGCCCGTCCCATATATGGAAATTTTGTTTGTTTATACAGCCATTAATCCCAATAGTATAGTATG